TCTGGTGAGGTGGCAGGGACCCTGCGCAGAGGCTCAAGACCCGTATTCCTCTGTGTGGGTCTGGATCTAGCCCTTGGCACAGCTTGCGCCAGGGGGGTGAGGGATCTGGGCTGCCAGAGCTGTGGCTGCACCAGCCTGGGGAGGACTGGTCTGGCCCCGGAGGGTGTCCAGGACCCAGCCAGACTCGGTTCTGTTTTCAACCAAGGGAGGATCTGGCTTATGGTGGTCACGTCTGCCCGAGATGCCATGGCAGGCAAGCACAGGGGCATCAGAGCAGCCAGCAGTGCTGTTTAGGGCCGGCCCCTTCTTCTCCCCAAGACTGGGGCTTGTCCTGGCCTTGAGAGGTGTGGGGAGGCAGGGATCATGGCTCCCATGCTGTGGGCAGTGGTATCACACCCCCATGGGGGTGCAAGTGTGGGAAGCAGCTTCAGCACAGACCTCTGGGGGCAACCCTGCCCCAGGCTCCAAGGCTAAGGTCAGAGTCAGGAGTGGGCCAGCACTGCACTGGGGGGGGGGCTGGGTCATGAGCCTCCTGGAAACTCTCCCCGCACCCCATAGGATGTCTCTGAGGGCACCCACACACTGTTACTGGTCAGTACCTTGCCCATCTCGCTGATGACCGCAAATCCTCCAGGATGCAATGCCTGGCCCTCAGTCAGGGTTTGTGGGACACAGGGATCCAAGCACAGTCCCATCAGCCCATGGGTTCTGACTTTCCTTTTGGTCCTCAGGACCCACATGTGGTTAACAGGGAGTTTGTCTGTTACAGAATCCAGTGGTTATGGCTGGACATGAGCCAGGGGATATCTGGGATGGCTGCCCCACTAGGGGCATGTGGGATGCACAGAACTCATTCTGGGTGTGGGGGCTGGGGAGAGCTTCAAAGGGACGGATGAGCCTTTGGGACAGCATTGGCCTGAGTGGACGGGGACAGTCAGAGCCTCAAGTGGGTGAGGGTCTCAAGGATTCACTCCAGATCAGTCAACGGTAAAATACAAGGGCACTTCAGAAAGTCCTTGGAAAGTGAAATTCAAAGGTAAGTTTATTTTGGTGCCAAAAACAACAACAAAACCACCCTGAAACTCGTTCACCCAAGGAAGCCTCACAAAATTCATGAAAAAAGCTTCACAGGAAAAACCGCTTGGGCTTCAGTGATTTTTTTTTTTTGGGTGTGTGTGTGTATGCCAAAACAAATTTACCTTTTTTTTTTCTTTTTTGACAAGCAGAGTGGCAGAGTTAGACAATGAGAGAGAGAAATCTGCCTTCCGTTGGTTCACCCACAAATAGCTGCCACAGCTGGTGCGCTGTGCTGATCCAAAGCCAGGAGCCAGGTGCTTCCTCCTGGTCTCCCCGGCGGGTGCAGGGCCCAAGCACTTGGGCCATCCTCCACTGCACTCCCAGACCACAGCAGAGAGCTGGACTGGAAGAGAGCAACCGGGATAGAACCAGTGCCCCAACCGAGACTAGAACCCGGAGTACTGGCACCGCAGGTGGAGGATTAGCCTAGTGAGCCACGGTGCTGGCTTAAACTTACCTTTTAATTGCATTTTCCCATGAACTTTTTGCTCATGCAAGAATGGATGACAACCAGTTTGGACTCATAAGGGTAACTGAGCCAGCATGTCCCAGGACAGTGTTCTGCAAAAGTTTTTCCTCTGGGATATTCCCAGTTAGGAGGCAGGGGTTTAGCTTAGTGGGGCAGACACCTGCCTCCCCCATTGGAAAACCTGGATTCAACACCTGGCTCTGGGCTCTGTCTGGCTCCTGATTTCAGCTTCCTGCCAGTGAAGATGGCTAAAGACACTGGGTGCTGGGGTCATTGTTATGGCACAGGGGTTTACCACCTACCTGTGACACTGACATCTCATGTGAGCTCTGGATCGAGAACCAGCTGCTTCACTTCTTATCCAGCTCCCCGCTAATGTGCCTGGAAAAGCAGCAGAAGATGGTCCAAGTGCTTGGGCCCCTGCCACCCTGTTGGAGACCTGTCCAGATAGAGTTCCTAGTTCCTGGCTTTGACCTAGCCCAGTCCTGGCTGTTGCAGCCATTTGGGAAGTGAAGCAGCAGGTGGAAAAATCTCACTTTGTTTTTCTCTCTGTTACTCTGCTTTTCAAATAAATAAAAATATTTTTAAAAGAAAATTGGGGGGGGGGGCTGTGCTGTGCTGTGGTAAAGCTGATGCCTGTGGTGCCGGCATCCCATATGGGCACCGGTTTGAGAGCTGGCTGCTCCACTTCCAATCCAGCTTGCTGCTAAGGCCTGGGAAAGCAGTAGAAGATGGCCCAAGTCCTTGGGCCCCTGCACCCGCTTGGGAGACCTGGAAGAAGCTCTTGGCTCCTGGCTTCAGATCGGCACAGCTCTGGCCATTGCGGCCATCTGGGGAGTGAACCAGTGGATGAAAGACCTCTCTCTTTCTCTCTCCCTCTCTCTCTACATCTCCTCCTCTCTCTGTAACTGTGACTTTCAAGTCAAATAAATAAATCTTAGTATTAAAAAAAGAAAATTGGTGCCTTCCACCCACATGGGAGACCTGGATTAAGTTTCCTGCTTCCCTGCTTTGGCCCTGGCCCAGCCCCAGCTGTTGTGGGCATGCAGGGAGTGAACCAGCAGACAGGAGTGTCCCGTCAAAATCAAGAGCCAACCAACCAACACAAAACCAACAGCCAGTAATAAACCCACATCCCAGCCCCTCTATGTATTTAGACAACTGGAGCCACATCCCGTGAAGCATCCCTTGCTGCCAGAGCCCTACTTTTCTGGTTGCAACCAGCCTGAGCTGACTTCACAACCTTCTCCGAGCTGCAATGCAAATGTGAAGAGTGGCACTAGAGGTGTCACTGGAGATCCATTCATTTGCTGGTGGCTAATGGTTTCACCTAAGCTACACCAGCCACACACCAGCTGGTTAAAATCACCACAGGTGGCTCCCATCAGTGATATACACGCAGCACTTTCAATGGACAAACCGTGCATGCTTCCATTTGTACGAGGGGCTTGAGCCACCAGCTTCATAAAGGTGACAGAGGGGGTAACAGTGGCCAGGGGAGCGGGGAGCTGGTGTTGAGTGGGTCCAGAGTTTGTTTCACAGGAAAAGTTCTGGAGGTGGGTGGGGATGGTGGTTGCCCAGTGGTGTCAGGGGACTTAGTGCCATTGAAGTGCAGGCTTAAAAAATGGTCAGGATGGGGCTGGTGCTGTGGTGTTGTGGGCTAAGCCTCTGCCTGCAGCGCTGGCATCCCATATGGGTGCCAGTTCAAGTCCCAGCTGCTCCACTTCCCATCCAGCTCTCTGCTATGGCCTGGGAAAGCAGTAGAAGATGGCCCAAGTGTTGGGCCCCTGCACCCACGTGGGAGACCTGGGAGAAGCTCCTGGCTCCTGGCTTTGGATCAGCTCAGTTCTGGCTGTTGCAGCCATTGGCAGAGGGAACCAGCAGATAAAAGACCTTAGTTCCCCTCCCCTCCCCTCCCTCTCCAACTCTCCCTCTTAAATAAATATTAAAAAATATGGTCGGTGGGGGCCAGGGCTGTGGTGTAGTGGGTAAATCTACTACCTGCAGTGCTGGCATCGTATATGGGCACTGGTTCGAGTCCCGGCTGTTCCACTTCTGATTCAGGTCTCTGCTGTGGCCTGGGAAGGCAGTAGAAGATTGCCCAGGTCCTTGGACCCCTGCATCCACCTGGGAGACCTGGAAGAAGCTCCAGGCTCTTAGCTTTGGATTGGCCCAGTTCCAGCCATCAGAGTCATTTGGGGTGTAAACCAGCAGATGGAAGACGTCTCTCTCTCTCTGCCTCTCCTCCTCTGTGTAACTCTGAATTATAAATAAATAAATCTTTAAAAAATTGGTCAGGATGGAAATTTTGTTACCTATGCTTGATCACCATTGAGAAAGAAACTTAGGAAAACTTGCTGACAAAAAGCCCACTTTTACATCCGTTGTCTTGCACCACCAACCATGGCCCTGGGGGGTGAGCAGAATGGGCAGCACTTCCAACCTCACCTTCAGGGGAAGACAGGGAGCTTGGAGATTTCCAGTGGCCTGTGGGGTCACTCCTGGCCCCCTCCTCACTGCCTGCCACCCACCCGATACCAAAGTACAGGGTCCCAGGGCCCAGGGGCTCAGCCTAGGAAGAGGGTGAAGGGGCCTGGCCTGTGCTCCCAGTGGTGACTCCCCTATAGCCCCTGGATGAAATCCGTGATGATGAGTTTGCGAGAGCTACTGCACAGCACGGAGACTTCAGTGAGGCCCAAGGTTTCTGGGACGTGATGGATATGTGACTTCCTTGATGTAATCACTCCACAATGTCTGCATGTATCAGAACATGGCACTGTATACTGTAAATGCATGTCACTTGAGTTTGGATCCTACTTTAATACAGCTGGGGAAGGGCAGGCAGAATTGATAAGAATGTGTGTGTGTGTATGTATGTGTGTGTGTGAGAGAGAGGGAGAGAGAAGGAGGGAGGGAGGGAGGGGTCTGTGAGGTGCTGTGCCTGGTGCATTGAACACCGTTCTGTTCTTTAGATCATGAGTCTGGACCGCAACAGCGGCCATGTCTTGTGAAACTCATTTCCTCCCCTGCCACCTGCCCTGAACTCCAGCCCAGGGGCTTCTGTTCCACAGCTGAGCCCACTCTCCAGGGCCCCTGCAGGCCCCAGGTCATGCTCCAAAACCCAGGGTGCCCTTGGGGATCTGAACAGGGGACAAGGGTGGGTCACGTGTGCTGGGCCCTTGGCTGGGCTGGGAGGCAGTTGAGCCCAGGATCCTGACCACAGCAGAGCAGTTGGCAGATGTTTCTCTGTGAGACAGCCCCCAGGGGTAATGGCCAGGGATCCTAGAGGGAGCTGCGCTGGGGGCTAGGACCAGAGCTAGCCCAGGGGAAAGCCAAGGCCACACGGACTGGTGCGCACAGGGGCAGCTGTGGCCAGCGAGGGAACCAGGGACAGCTCCTTACAGACATCTCCTATCTCAAGTCCGGAAGGAGGCACCTTTGACCCTAAGTGTGGATGAGGCTCCAGAGTGGCCAGGTGGGGCCTGGGCCTGGCCCCAGGCTGCTCTGGGCTCTGCTGCTGCTGGGTCTGGTCGTGGGTGCCCAGGACCTGTGGACCCCAACAGCAGCACCCCAGAGCAGGGCCCTGGGCCCTGGAGGCCCTGTAGGAAGCAGCCGGTTCAACCTGCGGATCCCATGGCACAGGTAAAGAAAGGGCAGGGAGTTGGGGTGGGGGTGTCAGGGTGTGAGGGTCCCTGCGGCTGAGTGGGAGAAGGACCCATCCCAGAGGAGGTGCTGGCAAGACCTTGGCTTAAAGTGTGATATTCTGTCCATCACAGGCTTGTCTGTGTTAATTTTATGATTAACATCACACTGAAGTTTTACCTTGGTTCCTGAGTTTTGGGGCTCCCCTAATATTCTGTACCAAGGCCGGCATCTCACCAGCCTCCCCCCAGTCCTCTGGGCACGGGGGCAGGAGTCTGCGGCAGGTGGGGACCTCTGTCCCTGCAGGTACAGGATGGACACCCCCCTCCTCTGTCCCCTCTGGGTTGCCTCCCTGCCCTCACCTTCATTACCCAGGGGCCACTGCCTGCACTCCAGCTGATATTCTAAGGCTGCCTTCCTGGTGACCCCTGGGTCCCCAGACCCTCAGCTAAGAAACCTCAGGCAGGGTCACCTGTGGAGATAGGCACCCCCCCCAGGAGACTAAGCCCACCCAGATGCAGGCAAACAATGCCCAGGGCAGGGTCTGTGGGGGGCCATGGTGTACCCCACCCAGCCCCCTCCTCTCTGTAGGGAGTGAAGTCCCAGACAAAGCTCAGCTTATGTCCTAGCAACATGGCCTGTCCACCACACTCACAGGGCGCTAGGGCTCAGGGACAGAACCTGCCTCTGAGAGCCGAGCTCCCCTCCCCCTGCCCCAAGGCAGTTCTCATCCCATTTCACAGATGGGAATGAAGGCCCAGACAGGGGAGGCGACCTGCCCAGGGTCACACAGCACAGGGACATGCAGACAGTCCCAGGACTGAGAACCTGTGACTCTAGCAGCAGGCTTATCTGTCATGGGGACAGACCCACGCCAGTTCTAGTCACAATAAGGGGGTGGGGATGTTCCCTGTGTGATCTCAGGATTGAGGGGTACCGGCTAGGGGCTGGGGTGCCAGCAAAGTCAGAAGCATGTGCTGAGAGGGGTTCAGGAGAGGAGGCATGTGGGGAGCTAGGGGTGGGATCGGGGAACCTCACACTCGTGTGTCCCGGCCTTTGTCCTGCAGAGGGATTGAAGCGCCACAGGGACAGGGATTTGTGCTTTGGAAAAACTGGCACCAAAATGGGAGGCAAATGGGAGGTCTGATTAGACGGCGGAGACTGAGGCCCAAGATGGGAGAGGCGGCCACATCCCAGGGAGGTGGTGCTAAGCTCAGACAAACCTCACCAGGAGGAGGAGCAGGATGGGCAGGTGCATGGCCACCTGGCCAAGATCCCCTTGAAAATGGCAAGTGAAACTGGTGACAGGCAGAGAGGTGACCTGGGAGGGTGTGTGCTTTCAGGCCATGAGGGGGAGATGGCGTTTCTGAAACATACAGTATTATTAAAATGCGCACTCCTGAGGTGGACCCTGGCCTATTGGTTAGGATGCCTGTGTCCCATGTGGGGCTGCCTGGGTTTGAGTTCCAGCTTCTTGGCAATGCAGATCTTGGCAGGCAGCAGTGATGGCTCAAGTACTTGGGCTCCTGCCCGTATGGCCCTGTCCCAGCTGTTATAAGGATTTAGGGTATGGGCCGGCGCCGTGGCTCACTAGGCTAATCCTCCACCTAGCGGTGCCGGCACACCAGGTTCTAGTCCCAGTCGGGGCGCTGGATTCTGTCCCAGTTGCCCCTCTTCCAGGCCAGCTCTCTGCTGTGGCCCGGGAGTGCAGTGGAGGATGGCCCGAGTCCTTGGGCCCTGCACCCCATGGGAGACCAGGATAAGTACCTGGCTCCTGCCATTGGATCAGCGCGGTGCACCGGCCGCAGCGCGCCGGCCGTGGCGGCCATTGGAGGGTGAACCAACAGCAAAGGAAGACCTTTCTCTCTGTCTCTCTCTCTCTCACTGTCCACTCTGCCTGTCAAAAAAAAAAAAAAAAAAGGATTTAGGGTATGAACCGGCTGCTGGAAGATCCTCTCTCTGTCAGTCTTTCTCAAATCTCTCTCTCTCTCTCTCACACACACAATGCCTTTTTTACTTTTTCTTTTAAAAAGATTTATTTATTTATTTGAAGGTAGAGTTACAGAGAGGTAGAGAGGGAGAGAGAGAGAGACAGAAGTCCTCCATCCACTGGTTCACCCCACAGTGTGCTGACTTGAAGCCAGCAGCCAGGAGCTTCCTTCAGGTCTCCCCCGAGGGCACAGGGTCCTAAGGACTTGGGCTATCTTCTACTGCTTTCCCAGGCCATAGCAGAGAGCTGGATGGGAAGTGGAGTAGCCAGGACTTGAACCAGAACCTACATGCGATGCCGGCACTGCAGGCGGTGGCTTTACTCTCTATGCCACGGCGCTGGCCCCATGTAATGCCTTTTAATCAAGTAATTTCTCTTCTAGATATTTATCTTGAAATAATAAAAACTTCAGCTGTATATTTTTTGTGTTCATGGGGAGAAGCAACCAAATGGTCGAGCAACAGGGGAAGGTAAAATAAAGGATGCTACATCCATGATGGGGAGCACTCGAGTCATCAAGAGTGTCTCTCATGACCGTAGTAACAGATTCAAAAGCAGTCTACAGGGCTTAGCATTCCGTGCAGTGGTTAAGTTGCTGCTTGGCATGTCTGCATCCTGCACTGGAGGGCCTGCTTCCAGTCCTGCTTCTGCTCCTGATTCCAGCTTAATGCTGCCATGTGCCTTGGGAGGCAGCAGGGGATGGTTCAAGTCCTTGGGTCCCTGCCACACATGTGAGAAACCTGGAGTTCCTGGCTCCTGGCTTGAGTCCGGCCCAGCTCTGGCTGTTGCAGGCATTTGGGGAGTGAACCAGCAGATGGGAACCCTTGTCACTGCCTTTCAAATCAATCAATTTTTTTTGACAGGCAGAGCTAGACAGAGAGAGAGAGAGAGAGAGAGAGAGAGAGAGAGAGAGATCTTCCTTTCTGTTGGTTCACCCCCCAAATGGTCGTTACGGCTGGTGCGCTGCAGCCAGCGTGCTGCACCAATCCAAAGCCAGGAGCCAGGTGCTTTCTCCTGGTCTCCCATGCAGGTGCAGGGCCCAAGCACTTAGACCATCCTCCACTGCACTCCTGGACCACAGCAGAGAGCTGGACTGGAAGAGGGGCAACCGGGACAGAATCCGGCTCCCCAACTGGGACTAGAACCCGGTATGCAGGTGCTGCAGGCAGAGGATTAGCCTAGTGAGCCGCGGCCCTGGCCAAATCAATCAATCTTGAAATAAAGAAATAATATGGAAGGATCCCATATACTTCTTTACCCATTCTCCAATAGTCAAATCTTGTAAATCTACAGGAAACTATCACAATCAGCCTATTGACATTGATACAATCAAGGAAAAGAATGTTTGTCACCACAGACATCACTCTTGGCCCGTTTTTCCAAAAAAAAGATTTATTTACTCCAAAGGTGGAGTTAGAGTGAGGGAGAGGCAGAGGGAGAGAGAGAGAGGTCTTCCATCTGCTGGTTCACTCCCCAAATGGATGCAATGACTGGAGCTGAGCCCATCTGAGCCAGGAGCCAGGAGCTTCTGCTAGTCTCCCACGTGAGTGCAGGGGCCCAAGGACTTGGGCCATTTTTCACTGCTTTCCCAGACCATAGCAGAGAGCTGGATTAGAAGAGGAGCAGCCAGGACTAGAACCAGCATCCAAATGGGATGGCAGTGGTCCAGGTGGTGGCTTTACCCACTACACCACAGCAGCGGACCTTTTGTTTTATTTTTTAAAAATCTTTGCAGGGGCCCAAGCACTTGGGACATCTTCTACTGCTTTCTCAGGCCATAGTAGTGGGTAGAGCATCCGGGACATGAACCAGGGCCCATGTGGTATGCTGACACTGCAAGCAGTGGCTTTACCTGCTATGCCACAGAGCCGGCTCCTATTTTTTTCATTTTTATTTGAAAGGCTGAGACAGAGAGAGAAAATGAAGAGATGGGGGAGGGTAAGGGATAAATCTTTTTTTTTTTATTAATTTTTTTATTCCATGAATTCCCATAACAGCCAGGGCTGGGCCAGGCAGAAGCCAGGAGCCCAGAATTCCATCTGGGTCTCTCATGTTAGTGGCAGGGAGCCAAGTATTTAAGCCATCATCTGCAGTCTCCCAAGGATGCAAGTTAGAAAGAAGGTGGAATTGGAAGCAGAGGAGCTGGGACATGAACCCATGCACTCTCACATGGGATAGGGGTGTTCCAACTGTTACCTTCACCGCTGTACCCAATGCCTGCCCATTTGTTGTCTTTTTTTTAAGATTTATTTATTTCTTGGGCCATCTTCTACTGCTACATGTTTTCAGTTTGTTTTGGTCTATGCCAAGCAGTGGAATTGCTGGCTTGTATATATTGTGACTGTGTGTGTGACTTTGCTTTTTCATGTGTAACCTTTTGAGGAACTGCCAAACTGATTTTCACAGTGATGGCCTCATTTTAGAATACCACCAGCAATGTGTAAGAGTCACAGTTTCTCCACACCGTTGGAAACACTTGTTTGAAAAAAATTTTAAATTATTATAGCTGTCCTGATACTATCTTTTAAAATTTATTTATTTAAAAAAAGATTTATTATTTATTTGAAAGTCAGAGTTAGAGAGAGAAGGAGAGGCAGAAAGAGAGAGGTCTTTCATCCACTGGTTCACTCCCCAATTGGCTGCAACTGCCGGAGCTGCACTGATCTGAAGCCAGGAACTAGGAGCTGCCTTTGGGTCTTCCCAAGTGGGGGCTGGGGCCCAAGGACCTGGACCTCTAGGCACCCACATGGGAGACCTGGAAGAAGCTCCTGGCTTCAAATCAGCCTAGCTCTGGCCATTGCAGGTATTTGGGGGAGTGAATCTGTGGACGGAAGACCCCCCTCTCCCTCTCTCTAACTCTACCCTTCAAATAAATAAATAAATCTTTTAAAAAATTGCATGCATGCATGCATGCATACACGTGCACACACACACACACAGAGCACCAGCCTTTCCATCAATTTTGAGTTAGCTCTTGCATACAGTCTGAGGTACAGGTCCAATTTCATTA